GTAATGTAATGAAATGTAATGTAATGTAATGTATGTATGTAATGTAATGTAATGTATGTATGTAATGTACGTATGTATGTATGTATGTATGTATGTATGTATGTATGTATGTATGTATGTATGTATGTGTGTGTGTGTGTGTCAGCTGTCCGAGTGTGCCGGTGTATCAACTGTCCTGAAATTCGCTGATGGTGGAATAGCGATCTGGCATGTCTGGTGCGTAGCTGTGGCACTTGCAACTGGTATCATTCATTCCTCGGTCGACTTGCACAGCGAGCCAATCTTTGACCTGAATCAAGACATGCTGCAGCTCACAGTTCTGCATGCAGATTCAACGTAAGATGATGTCACTAGAAAGTCACCTCGGATTTGCCATGTGTCAACGGTCACTCCAACTCGCTGTACGTTCCTTAGGTTGGCTTTGCCAAGACGGCACGGTCTCTTCATAAAATGTGACAACGGTGCATATATGATTTCCCTGCTCGGGTTTTAAGCATCACCTTCGTTTGGCCCGTTTGAGGTGAGCTTCCGTGCTGTTTAAAGGTGAAGTATAGGGAACCCTGCTGCATCCTCAGATGGATATGTGGTAAAATATGGTAAAATAGGGGGATCCCCAAAATTGTGGCTTTCCTTTTGTTTTGCCCCAGACCAACCTGAACATGGTACTCTCAAGCACAAATTGCATCGCTGGCCGAGACCATGTTCATTGCCCTCCTGCTGCGCTTCGCTCGTCTGGTGCGGCTTACGCGCATCATGAAGGTTTTCAGTCGGGCTGCCCAGACAGACTCAGTGCCCGTGTTTGCTTTAGGGAGGTTCCCTACCAAGCAATGGCGTCCCATTTTTGTATTGCCACAGAAACCTGGGGCCAAGTCGCCAGCCGGCCTCGCCGCGCACCTCCGTGGCTGACCGCTGTGGAGCGGGACGTGGACCCCTGTACTTTGACAAATTGTGCTTCAAAAGCATTTCATACGGATGCGGATGGCACAAGTCGCGCCAGACACCATGCGCTTCGCCCTTTTGTCTATTATGACATCATATTCCACTTTGCGTGTAGGTATTTTACCGTAGGAATGGAGGAGGACTGAAGATTTGTGCACTTATGATCTAAGCCATGTTGTTAGTGACAGAGGTGGCGGTTATCATGCGTGTTTCTTCATTTTAGTAGATTAGGTTGCTTTCCAAGTGTCCGTGTAGAACACGTTGCTCCAAGGATTGCACTGGATGAAGGAGCTCCGCCTCATGCTGAAAGGTCTCTTGGGCAGCAGGGAAGCAGCTCCTAGTATGGTGAGGGTACCTTTTTGGGATGGTTCCGAAAGGAAAAGGGAAACCACACAATTGTCGAGTTCTCCTGTGTGACAAAGCTGTGCTGAGTTGAGGACATTTGTCAGCTTCGCTACTTACCGTTTGGCCAAGGAACGTTGATCGGAGCATGTTTGGGAGGTTCTCCGGCTGAAGCCTCCAGGCATGGAACCACCAATCCATGCCAGCTTTTATGCCCATGTCCATGCACGTTCAGTGCGGCTGTGCTATCGATTTGGTCCAGAATTTCTCCGGAGATTGCTGAGACGGGATGCGCGAGCCGAGCTGGCGGGGCGAGCCGCTGTTCCACACTCGAACTTGGTCCCAGGCTGCTCCATTTCAGGTTAAGAAGGCCAGCTGGAAGGTCGAAACATGTTGAAACCCGATTTGGGGGGTTCCCCAGAAGACAATCGCAGCAGTATCCCCGTCCTTCAAGGTCTGGTGGGCGGCTTCCGCACACTGGTCACTGCATTCCTTCTGCTCTTCTCTGTGCTCTACGCAGCTTGGAATGAGCAAGTATGGAACGCTGGCCGGACATGTGCCTACCCGGCTGCGAACTTTGACAGAACACCATATCAAAAGTTGGTGGACATGAATCTCCACCTAAATGATGTCCGCCAAAGGGTTCCGTATGACAAATCACACCCACTTTTTTGCCCTGAGCCCATTTAGCTTGCCTTGATTTTCCCGTTGGACTAGAAACATGTTCGCTTGTTGCAGTGGTTCGTCTGATCAATGGTGGTCTTTCGGGAAATCAATCTGTTGTTATGCTATCCACTTGGGCAAGCACCCGAATTGGAAGGGACTTTCCGCTGGTTTGTAGGGATGCCCCTCGCACAATGCGGTGTACTTGTGCCTGCGGAAGGACTTGGAATCTCAAGGCCTCGAATGGCTGCCCAATTGCCCTCAAACCAACGCGCAGACACATACTGTGGCTGGACAAAATCCACTTCGAGTCAGTTGCAGGTGGTCTGTCAACCAGTGCTCATAGGGTTACCGATGCCTTGGATTTCGTCAATCCACAGTCATTTTGCCCAACAGCCTTAGTCTAGATGTTGAGACTGAGGTCATAGCAGGTTTGGCCACCTACACGCTGGGCCGAGATGAGCGCATTATAGTGACGTGCTCGGAACTGGAACGTGGCTCAGGGTTGCCAAACGGACACATGCTATGTTGAAACTCGAGTTTACCAGATTCTTGGAGGCTCACCTTGTGATAAATCAGGTGATTTTGGGAGCGCTCATGTTGCGCACATGCCATTGTGACATTGAGTCCAGCATTGTCGTCGGGTGACGGTCCGCCTGTTGCGCTTCCTATCCAAATAGCCCACTGAAAAGTGATGGCAGGCTGTCTCAATAGTTTTGCAAAGAGGTTGCCAGGGCCAATCAGTAGGAGACTTACCAGGTGTTGTGATTTGAGATCTTGTTGGATTGCAAAGCAATTCGTCGTGCCCGAACGAGGTCATGGGCTATTACGACCTTTTCTACAACCTGCCAGCGCAGCTCAGCATTGACATAGCGTGTCTGGAAAGGGATGCGAATACATGTGACCCACTGATGGAAGCCGCGTACGCGGAGCCTCCTTGTCAATCCATGTAACCTGGGGGCACACTTTCAAATTTGGTGTCGTTTCCTTGAGGCTGATGTCAGCCCAATCATGGCCTATGCTGGACTCGTGGCGATTGCCACCCCTGGCCCAATGTTGAACCTGCCAGAAAGGAAATCTTCACATATATCAGCAGTAGCGGCAAGCAGAAAAGCAACTGCAACCAGCGCCACTGGCGACAAGTCACCCTCAAGGGTGCATGGTTGTTATCTCCGTTGGTGGCAACATCGTCGTGTTATGTTTGTTTTTGACAGCAAGAGACTGCACTGGACATTTCATGCAACACTTAGAGTGCATAGCCCTCATCCCGATTTGGCCTTTGACAGCTGCAGTCCTGCCCTGTGATGTGTGTGTGTGTGTGATCATGAAACGCTTGAGATGGCTTGCACCACATCCCCCCAACGGAAGCGGGGACGCCGAGCGCGCACTTCCATGACTGGAAGGGGCTTATGCCCCGCACCCTTGGCAGAGTGTTTGGACCACCCTGGCAAAGCTCAAAGAAAGTCCAAAATAACTCACACATACGCGCTCACACACACAGAGCTCGAACCTCAACTTTGGGAAAACCTGCCTACCTAGCAGAGATTCCGTGTTATCCTCTCTGTATTTGGTTGCAGCAGATTGGCATCAAATGTAGATATTGCATGGACACTTAAACTCAGGTCTTGTTGGGGCCAATGTTGTCCTCGATCATGTGGTGGGTACGACATGAGTTCTGGACTGTCACAGCCAACGGGCTGGCTTTGCTCCTGAACAACCAGAAAGAAACTGATATTTGGTTTGTTCAAAATCAACCCCAAATGTTTGTGAAAGACTAGTGTTTTTCTTGCCCTCAACTAATTTGAGGATTGCGATTGGGGATGGCCCCATTGTGAACAACCCAGAAAATACAAGTAGGATTCTGCAACCGGGTAATATCCGTGCGAAGCTAGGGAAGTGTGTGCTGCTGATCCGTTGGGCAGGTCGATGTTCACCACATTTCGCTGCCTCTCCGGTCAGTGCGAATCAGACGAAGGCGTGGTCGGAAGCAATTCTGAGAGGGATCTGCATCCTTGAAGGCCGTGTTGAAGAGCACGGGGCTTCAATGCAGCCAATTGGTTAGACAATGTGTCAGAGCACCGACTGGGCCTTGCATTTCTGTGTTTACTCACACCAACTGGTGCTTCCCAGGCACTGCCTCCACACTTTCTTGCCTGTTTTCTGCTTTGCGTTTATGGGTTTGCCTCTGCCTAGGTATTGGTGCGCCCTTGATGTCTTCTTAGTGCTGTATTTTGATTTTCTGGGCACACCTTTGACGCTTTGGGTTGGTGGCGAGTTGATGCCTCCTTTTGGGGCTTGGGTTTGGTACCAGCTTGGTGTTTTTAGATGATTGCTCGCGACTGCTTCAGTGCTCCTTTGCTCCCCGATTTGTTGGTTTGCCCACAGGTTTCTTTCTCTTGCTGCTCTGCAGCTTTTCTGTTTAGAACCCAAGTTGAGGCGTTCCAGAAAGGAGGTTCCGTTGGTTCCATGTAAATAATTGACAGTTTGTTTTTATTGGTTCTCATCCTTTCCTTGTCTTCCTCATTCTTTTCCAGGAGGTCGTTCCTTTCCAAGTTCTGCGGCACAATGTTCGTCTTCCACAAGGGCCCCGTGTGCAGTGTGTCTTTGGGCACCCAGGTCCCTTGAGAAGTGGAGGGGGGGGCTACGGAGGTGCTCCGCTGGCCTCTGTGCTGTTCAAGGAGTTTGGTCTGCCCTTTGTGCTCGCCTACATCCTCAGCTACATGCTGGTCACCATGGGCCTCTGGACTGAACGCGGAAAGAAGGGAACCAGTTTTAGTGTAGTTTCCACCAAGAAAAAAGCCGGCACCATTGGACTTGTCGAAAGTAGGCCAAAGATCTTCAGTGTTCTCTTTGGGAAGGAGCTACCGTACCTTGAGAAGGTGACTTTCGGACTTGTAGCCTCTCGGACTATCCTACCGTCTCAAGAATCGGGCAACCGGTTGGGCCACAAGGGCCCCTTGAGCCACGCCCGAAGGACCCAAAGGGCTACCGTGCTGTTAGGTCCAACCTTCGATTCATGTCACACACACACCAAGGGAAATGGGTTCGTGTTGTTGGTGTTTTGACACTACCCTTAGGTTCAAGAGCCGGTCCTATTTTTGACCTAAGGCCAAGCTTTCCTTTTACACACCCTAAGAAACATGAGCACTCGCCAAGCATGATAACGGGGAACGGTTTTATGTGGGACATGGCTGGAGGGCAGTTGGCCGTTTCAATTGCCATGCTTCACAGAGCTTGAAGCTGAGCTGATGTGTGAGGGGGGTAGGACGAGCGAGGTGCAATTGAGAAGGCCAAAGGGGCCAAATTGCAGCAAGCGCATGAGAGAGGATGATGTCTTCAACCATCAATCTCGGTTTGAATTCCGATCAAGCATCGGAATCCTTCAAACTCGATGCAAAGACGGTGGCGATGAATGTTAGATCGCTCACATGTGAGGCATCTTCAATGTCATATTGGCTGTAACTTGGCTGCATTCCGCTTCAGCGCCAACGCATGTCACACTTGTTGGACCGCGACTAAAGGCGGTGTCATATGTCACCAAGGTCCCAAACAAGTTCCTCACTTTGGGCAACCTGACAATTTGCTGTACTTATGCAAAGAATGAACTGTTAGGCGATACATTAGCTCAAACATGCCGGTGCAGCTGTGGAGAAAGGGCAGAAATCTGCACTGATCCTCAAACATGTGTGCATCAAAGTCGCCACGTGTTGCCATGCTCGCCATGATTGAATATGTGCGCCGGCTGGTGGCAAGATGAAATGCAAGCGGGAAACAAAAAACTTAATTGAATCGGCTTCATCACCACTTTGGCAAGCAGTTTGAATTTAGAGCTGAATTCCATTTGCCATGGGCAATGCAGGTCTACGTGGACATTACCATGCGCGCTGCGAAGGCCGGAGAAGAAAGGACGCAAACTCCTGTGTCCACTTCTCTTGTATCGCATAGAATTGAACATAGAGGATGTTCGTGCCCTCAAAGCAGCTGTTTGGAACAGGTTTGTTTGATAAAGAGCGTATGACATGGTGCCCATGCCCATGAACATGTGTTGCTTGATTTCTCGGCGTTTTATGTTAGCTTGCATCAAACTGGTGTCATCAATGCCTTTCGTCGCATTACATTCTCAAGGGACCAGCCAGCTAAGCAATGGTCCAAAACAAAGAACGGAGAGGCATCGAACAAACAAACAGAGCTTCATGCTACGTAGCCTATCCTTGCAATGCCTTCCGCAACAGTTCGCATCGCTTAGATCAAGTTCTAGCTTTCTCCCACACAGCATCCGGGTGGGAGGATCGGTTTCCTCTTAAGACCCTTTGTCAGGTTCTGTGGCAATATGGACCGCCGGGTGTTTGCCTTCTGCCACTCTGGGGCAAAGTGGGGGTATCGCATTCTCCTTATGACATGGACATCATGGTCCGGATTCATCTCCAAGCACTTTTCAGGTGGCAACCAAGCCTTGAGTTTGCGCCTCGGCTCAGGAGAATGAGGCAACGACTGCCGAGCAGCACTCCAGAGAATCCGTGCGAGTCGCCCGCACCGCCAGAACCTTCGGCTGACTAACGAGATAGGAGTTGCATACGTGTGCTTGTGTGCTTGTGTTTGTGTTTGTGTGTTTGCTTTAGTTTGGTTTGCTTTGGCTTTGGATTGGTTTGGTTTGTTTGTTTGTGTTTGCTTCTTTGTTTGTTTGTTCGCTTGCTTGCTTGTTTGTTTGTTTGTTTGTTTGTTTATTTTGTTAGTTTGTTTGTTCGTTTGTTTTGTTGTTTTGCGGGTACTCGTACCCTTTTCAAGACAAGGGACATCCACTGGACACTCCTCCCTATCTTGACACATACCTGTACGTCATGCAGAGTTCCGGTGTCAGACTCTTAGCCAAGGAGTTCGCTTAGGGCACGGAGTGATTTCGCAGAGTCCTAGAAGGTCAACAAAAAAACATCCAATAATCCGTCCAAAGCCAGACTTGTGTGTTTGTGTTGTGTGTGTGTGTGTACCGGCAGCAGTGCTGATGTAAAGTACTATTGGTTCCGGAATGATGCTCAGTTTACCATGAATTCAAGCGTTGGTGCCAAGATCCGCAAACTTTGCTCTCATAGTGTATTTGTGCTACGTCACTTGCTTGGTTCAACCCCACCGATCATGATCCCAGGATTCTGCCTAAGAATAGAGGCAGGTATCGGTTTGGGTGGGCCCCCTGTTTCCGGTGTAACATTTGTCAGTATTCACAGGTTTGTTTTTCCTCAGATAGCTGAAAGCTATAGGGGTTCTAACTTCCAATAATGAAAGGAAACTGATTTGCGAGATTGACGACTGGGTGCTAGGGGGGCGTGCAATTTGGGGTGCTGGTGTAGGTGCTGTTTGGGAGCTGCTGGTAATTTTTCCTATTATTGACGACAGGGTGCTAGGGCATGCAGTTTGGGGGCTGGTGCAGGTGCCGTTTCGAGGTGCTGTTTGGGGCGCTGCTTGGGTGCTGGTGACAGCACGGGCGCGTGTTTGCGAGATTGAAGGCCTGGTGCTAGGCGGCCAGGTGATAGTGTGGGCGCACTTTGCAAGATTGACGGTAGGGTGCTAGGGGGCATGCAGTCCGGGGTGCTGGCGCAGGTGCTGTTTTGGGATCCTGTTTGGTGCTATTTGAGGTGCTGGTGATGGTGCGGGCGCATTTTGGGGGTGCTGCTCGGGGTGCTGGTGCGGACGCATGGTTTTGGGGGGCCTGGTGACGGGCGCGAGAGCATTTTTGCGAGATTGACGGCGGGGTGCTAGGGGGCATGCAATTTGGGGATTCTTGCGCAGGTGCTATGCTATTTGGGGTGTTGTTTGAGGTGCTCTGCGGGCGATTATGCTGGTATATGTTGTTCTTTCGCCATGCACAATGGGACTCTAAACAAATTCTAATGTTCTAACAAACGAGTTCCAGCTTTCACCAGCACAAGCACATGTGTACCATCCTAGCACCCATTTGTTAGAACACCCATACTCGTGAATTTACGTCAGTTTCCTTTACTGTGCTTGCTCCATGTTTGCCACAATGATTTTCTATTATCTCGTCATGCTCTCGACTTTGAAGGCCAGAATGTTACAAGTGTTTGCCTTGGCCACATCTAACTGGGGTGGCAATCATTTTCCGGAACAAAGCATGCGTGTACTAGTTTATTGACTGCTACTGTACTGTTGACGGAGTACCGCTTACATGAGAGCATTCTCACCATTCTCATCTCGCCTCGCGCTCCCAACTTCACAGTAGTTCTTCGAAAGGTGCACACGCCTCATGCGTCACTGTACAACATGGAGCCAGGGGCGCGGGGTCTCTGGGTGTAGGATATGTTGTCTACTCAGTGGTGGCCCTGCACAGTCGAAGTGAGCAAGGAGAAAGCAAAGGTAGAATCTAGCATTAATTCGTTCATGCACAGCCTTACATTGGATTTTAGTTGCATTTTCTCTTGCAGGATTGATCCAATGCTTGGCGTTGGCCATAGGGATCCCGAATAAGATGTTTCAGTGTGTGCACCTTTGCTACACTGATGACACGTGATGATCATGGTGCAAAGCCGTTTTTCAAAACGAGCATGAGTAAATGGAGTCCTGAATCCGAGTGCGCGTCAGAGAAGCTGCTGGATGCTGGCCATCTACAAACAAACCCCGCATGTGGTTCTATTGGTTGGTGGTGATAAACCCACGATGAACAACCCCTGGCATAAACAGGGCGGTGCCCCATTTATGAGGGGATACTCTGCTTGTGGGTGAAGGCACCTAGTCCACCAGGTCGATTGCACGGTTGCTGGGTCTTCAGCTTCGACAAGTCTGCCCGAGGAGAGTTGCTCAAGAAGTTCGCGGCGGCTCACAAGCTGTTCCGCGGTCAGGACCTCGACGACATGAGCAACGTCACTCGGCGAAACTTGCAGTGGAGACGACTTGTCATTGTTAGGCTTTGCTTGCCTTGCCGACTCTTTGAGTTTATGGGTTCCTTCATTTTCCCTTTCAACCATCAAAGCATCAGTTTTTGCAGGGGCTCTACAGCTGGCCCCGTGCATTCGATGCATTTGTCCAAGTTGTAAAGTGTTCGGCCTGCGGAGGCACTCACTGGGACCCTGCAAGCCAGCCAAAGACCCCAACAGCTAGGGCCTTAGTCTCGACGCCCCCAGATAAATAAACCCCTAGTTGATTACTACGGGTGTCCCCTTGTAGTTGGCATTCATCTTTGGAGGGGACAGCCCCCAAAAACAGTTGGGCGGATTTAGCAATCCGGGGTAAGTATCATTTGGCATTTTGGTTCAACAAGGCTTATAAAGCCCGAACTCTTGCGGATGGTGTGTAGGGTCCCTGAATAGTTGAATAACATTCAGAGGGTCCAAACCCTGAAACTATGGTTTCGCGCTTGGGTTTTCCGGAGATTTGTCAAACACAAATCCCCAAATCCGGAATGAGGTTCTTGTCACCTCTGGAATTTGAGCTTGATGTCCTCGTGCAATGGTTGTCCCATGGGCCCACCTACTTGACAGAGAGTTTGAATTGCACACGACATCACGTATGCCCATCTCCCAAGCAAGGGATTTAGGGAGGGAGGTAGGGAGGGTGACCCCTGGAATTGCATGTTTAGTTGCAGACAAATGGAGCCGAGGGGCCCCTACCCCTAAGGGAGACTATGTGTAATCTAGTTTCGCGAGGGCCTCTTTTGAATGTTCTTTGCCGGGTGTCACTCATGCTGTGGAGAAGATGATTCTAGGATTACTTGAGCTTCCTGTGAATATGAAGCCTGTGGGAGGTTGTGAGAGCAACCGTAAGAAACACAGGACCTCCTATTTTCTTATCAGATACTGGAGCTATGGTTTCCAAGGAAGCCACTCTATCACACCCAGTTGTTCACTGGCACCCTTTTCCTTTTTTTTGTTTGGCCGCTAAAGATGGTCAACCCCAATTCCTTCTACAACTACCGTCACTGGGCAACTTGCATGCGCTACCTTCCATTCTGGAGTTTCCGGGTTGGGGGCGGGGGAATCCACAACCTGCTTGTTCTACCTCTTGGTTTGGGGTCCAAAGTGCCAAAGACAGGTTGGTGGTTTGGAAAACG